AATAAAATACTAAATATATATTAATTAATTATAATTATTAGTTTTAATTATATAGCTTAATTATAATTCTTTCTCTCTAATTAATATTAATATTATAATTATAAATCTATTTAATCTTTAGTTATAGTATTATTAGTTAGAAAATCTTACTAATACTTATATAATAATTTTATCTAGATTTAATCTTTAAAAGTAAGAATTCTAACTAATTAATTACTATTTAATCTCTTAGAATTCTAAACCTTAAGAAAAAAGTATTTTTATACTATTAAAATAAGAAGAACCTAGATATATCTAGTTAGAAATTTCTAATTACCTATTATTTTATCTATAAACCTTTCTTCTAGTTATAAAGAGAATCTCTATAAGCTACTAACTAATAGAGATAACCCTTACTAACCTATATTTAGATTATCTACTTATAAATAGATATTCTAATTAGATTTAGATCTTTAATAGTTCTAACTTTAATATTTAGAGATAAATTTTATAAAAAAATAAATATTTAGTTAAATATAGAGATTATAATTAATTAATTAAATCCTTTTTAAAAGTAATATAATACTAATAGATCCTAAGAAAATTATCTTTTTAAAAACTTTAAAGTAAAAAGTATTCTATTAAAATATAATCTATTACTATAGATCTAGAAATATAAATTATTATATAATTAAAACTCTTTTTTTAATAAACTAGAGGTTTTTACTAATACTAAATAAATATTAGATCTATTTAATTATTTAATTAAATAAAAACTTTAAATTAAAATATTATTTAAAAACTTTAAAAATAAAAACTTAATAAAATTTAATAAATTAAAAGAATAATTTTAAATATAGTTTAATAAGTATTAATAGCTAAGGGTTCTATTTCTTTTATATAAAAAAAAGATTAGAAAATAAATTAATCTTTTTTTTTATTAAATTTCTAACTAGATTAAATCTCTTAAGTTCTATTTATTAAATTAATATAAAAAGAACTAAAAAGTAATTTTAAAAAAAATTAGAAACTCTTTTTAATTTTAAAATCTAGAAAGCTTTTAAATCTAGAAAAGATATCTAGTTAGGAAAATAATCTAGAAGTAATTCTACTTACTTAATTAATTCTACTATTTATCTATAACTATAGTTTAACTTCTAAATTATATTAAAAATTACTTTTTATAAAAATAATAGATATTATTATAATCTTACTTTCTATATATTATAATCTAATAGAACTTATAAAAAGAAAAGAAAAATACTATAAATAAATATTATAAAAGTCTATTTAAAATAATCTATTAATATATTTTAAATTAATAAAATAATTAATATTAAAAATATACTAAATAATAAAATAATTATTAACTCTTAGAATCTAAATCTAATTACTAGTTTAAAATATTTATTCTATTCTATAAAAAGTAGAATTAATTTATAGATAACTAAAGAATTTAATAGTTATAAAATTACTTTCTTTTTTAAAAGCTTTAAAAAGTTTATTAAATTTAAAAACCTTAATATTAACCCTAAGATAAAAAAAAAGTTTTTTCTTTTCTATATTATAATAAAAGAAAAACTAAGAATTAAGATTATTTTAAAAAGTTAGAAAGATTAGTTTAATATAATAAAAATACTTAAAAGATAATATTATAATAATAATCTAGAATAATTTATTTAATTAGAAAAAAAACTAAAAAAGTTTAATATTTAAATTATTCTATTTAATTAATATTAACTTACTAGCTTTATTAATAAATATTAGCTCCTCTATTAAAAAGTTAATCTAGATAAATAGGAAAATAATACTATATAGTTATAATACCTATTAGAAATACTATTTATAAATCTTTTTTTTATAATTATTAATAATAAAAAGAAGATATATAAAGCTCTATAAACTATAAAGTATAATAAGTTATAAACTATTATTAATAAAACTATTTATTAGTACTTTCTAATTATTAGTTATAACTTTAACTATATTAGAAATAATATAAATAATAAGTTTATTAAGAACTTAAACTTAATAAGATCCTAAGCTTAGTTTAATAAAAGATAGCTATAGTAGATTAACCCTAGTTAGACTATTATAGATAGTATATAAAAGAAAGAGCTAGGCTTTCTAAAAACTTTCTTTTTTTTTCTTTCTAAGAATATAAATATTAAAATTAATACCTACTTATAGCTACTATAGAGCTAGTTTATTATAATCTATATTCTTTACCTTATAGTAATAATAAATAACTTTAATATACTAAGAGCCTCTAGCTATAGAGGAATAATATTAATTATTAGATTAAACCTACTATTACTAATAGGAGGATTATAAGCTAATTTAATAGGATTTTAAAATAAGATTAGAAATTAGATTTAATAAATATAAATATAATAATTTAAACTTAAGGAAATATTTTAAGTATTTCTATAAATATAGAATTAATCTATATAATCTTAATAATAATTATAATAATCTCTACCTTAGTTAATAATAATACCCTTATTATAGCTAGTAATAATACTATTATTATTAGTACTAATACTATTTACTTTATTAGTATAATTATTATAGAAAAAGCTACTATTTAAGAATAAACTATATAATAATACTAAGGATTTATTTTTAATATAGAAAAAGTATATAGAATATATC